AGCAACCCTAAGAAGTGGTATTATTACCATGTTACTGTATTTCCATTCTATAGACTGAAACTGAGGGTGAGCACTGAAAAGATTTTGTCAGCTCTCAGTTTCTATAAGGAAAGCGTTTCCTCCTCCTGCCTGTCCGGCCCCAGCCTTGTCTCTCTTCAGCCCTTAGCCCAGGTCTTAAGCTTCTGATGAATGTTCTAGAGGTGGGAGGTGTGGTCCCTGAACTCCTCAGGGTGAGCTTTCAGCAAGAAGGCGGACCTCTGTGTGGCAGATGAATGCCGGGTGAGAGGCTGGACACAGCAGCAGAACGTGTCCCTGAGGGGCACCCCGTCACTTGCATGTGGCCTTGGTGGTGTTTTTTTCTAAACATTGTTTTGTTACGTCAAGTTAAACAGGCAAGTGCCCACGCTCTAATTCTTTCTTTCTTTTAAAGATTTAACTTATTTATTTATTTGAAAGGCAAAGTTATAGAGAGGCAGAGGCAGAGAGAGAGAGAGAGAGAAGTCTTCCATCTGCTGGTTCATACCCCAAATAGCCGCAACAGCCTGAGCTGAGTCGATCCAAAGCCAGGAGACAGGAGCTTCCTCTGGGTCTCCCATGTGGGTACACGGGCCCAAGGGCTTGGACCATCCTCTTCTGCTTTCCCAAGCCATAGCAGAGAGCTATATAGGAAGTGGAGCAGCCAGGACTTGAACTGGTGCCCATATGGGATGCTGGCACTGCAGGCGGTGACTTTACCCGCTACACCACAGTGCTGACCCCCCTGCACTCTACTTCTTCTATCTTCTTTGATAAATCTGTATTATATTTTATTGTTTGGGAGTTCACCAGCAGCCATTTGCAATAGGAGCTTATGATTTGTTGCCAAATATTGGGACAAGCAGAAAAGTTTTATGTAGGAATGGGAAGGACTTAGACCCATCCAAAGTATTTTAAGGTTAACAGGTGAAATCTGGCTTTTTTTCCACAAAATTTTTTGCTTTTCTTGCACAGAAGCAATAGATAATTGTAAGATGTTGTATTTATAACTTGTAGGTCACTGGTTATTTGGAAGGTTAACAGCACTTGTAATTTTCACTTTCCTTTAATTCTCATGCTATTTGGCCATTTCAAAGATTTTTTTTTATTTACTTGAAAAGCATTATAGAGAGAAAGAGAGAGATGGAGAGTATCTCCTGTCTGTTGATTCAGTGCCCTAATGGCCAGGCAAAAGCCAGGAGCCTGGACCTTTATCTGAGTCTCCCATATGGGTAGCAGGGGCCCAGGTCCTTGGGCCATGTTCTGCTGCTTTCCAGGTACAAAAGCAGGGAGCTGGATTGGAAGTAGAACAGCTGAGACTCAAACTGTTGCTCCTAGGAGATGCTGGTGTTGCTGGCAGTGGCTTAGCCTGCTGCGCCACAATGCCAGCCCGCAATTGGCCATTTCAGACCTAGTTATAAGGAAAAGCACAATGTGTAACAAAAAGAAATTTTTAGAAGGTTTTTGATCCAACCTAAGCTGATTACAGCTCGTATGTTTACTGTTTTAAGTCACTAGTGGTTGTCGGCTAGGTGTTTTGTGAAGTCCCGAAGTCATGTCTTACTACATTCTTTTACTTGTAATCTTTCTCTGTTGAGCTGAGGCCCTTCATTCTTGATGTTTGAGGAAGCAAGAATCCTCCCCAGCAGAAAAAGACCCCAACAAGAGGTCAGCCTCATGTCCTCCCCCGCCCCAAGAATGCACTGTCACTGAGATTACACTCAGTTCTCCAAAACCAGCCATAGTGTGTGCAAGGCAGTTTCTGTTCTCAAAGAATTGTTAATATGTTAAGAATTGTTAATGTTAAGAATACTTACCAGTGTTAGCCACATTAATCTCCTTAACACACAGCCATGGACAGAGCGAGACACCTTGGGAAATGCCTCCTTGTTCTGCAGTCTTTATGAAATTAAACTATAAAAGGCGTCATTGTTCATGAGGTTTAAAATCAATTGCCAGGAAAGAATACAAGAAATCTTACTGTTTTCCTCCTTACCCCGTACTTAATAAAATAAATCATTTAGCCGCCTTATTTTGATCTTCTACTCCAAAAAAAGCCATTCTAATGAACTTGGACCCCAGGGTCCATGTGTGTGGTTATTCATTAAATCCTTATCTCCTATTAACTCTCTTGACTCAAAGCTTTGGCTAGGCTTGAACTCGGTAACCCAGTCCGATTCATCTCTCGATGTATTTCCCACTGGACGGCTAAGCTCTGCCTTAACTTGATCGTGCTGATTGATCCTGCTGCTGGCCCTCCAGCTTGGGCAGTGGGTTTCACATTAAACTGAGCTTCCCGCACTGAAGCACAAATGAAAAAAATGCTTCATTTGCTCACTGGTTTTGTTCACTGTGGACACTTAGGTACATTTGACATTCGTAACACTGGTATTATGTCATCACCGTAGGACAGTCATTCAGAGCTTCCTAAAGAAGAATTCCAGGGGCCGGCTCTGTGGTGTAGTGGTTAAAGCCACTGCCTATAGTGCCAGCATCCCATATGGGTGCTGGTTAGAGACCCGGCTGCTCCACTTCTGATCTAGTTCTCTGCTGTGGCCTGGGAAAGTAGTGGAAGATGGCCTGAGTCCTTGGGCCCCTGCACCCACGTGGGAGACCCAGAGGAAGCTCCTGGCTCCTGGCTTCAGATCAGCGCACCTCTGGCTGTTGCGGCCATCTGGGGAATGAACCAGCGGATGGAAGACCTCCCTCTCTCTCTCTGCCTCTCCTCTCTCTCTGTGTAACTCTGACTCTCAAGTAAATAAATAAATCTTAAAAAAAAAAAAGAAGAATTCCAATCAGAAACCAATTTGGAACCATCATTGATTTAACAGTTCTGCAGATGCTTTTGTACATTGGAAGAGCATGAAAAACATGGTTGGAGGCAAGCGGGTCAGAGCCCCCTGGAGGAGAGGGTACTTGGCCTGGCGGCTGAGTTGCTGCCGGAGACTCCCATGTTGAACTCCGTCTCTGATCGCAGCTTCCTGCTAATGAGCAGCAGGCAGTGGCTCAAGGAGTCGAGTCCGTCACCCAGTGGGGAGACCTAGATTGAGTTCCCAGCATCTGCTTCAGCCTGGCCCAGCCCCTGCTGGGGAGTGAACCCACAGGCGGGCACTCTCTCTTTCTGTCTCTGTCTCTCTGCCTCTTAAGTCATTGAATTTAAACAGTTTTGAAACTCCATGCTGATACTAGCTAATGCTATGGAGTGCTATGTGCCAGGCGCCCTTGGAATAGCTGTGTGTGTGTTCATCCCGGAGTCATCCTGCTCTCACGCTCACCTGATCACCCAGACCACAGAGTCAGGAAGAGGAGGTGGAGCCCCTGCTCCTCTGCAGGAGTTGGCCCCCCCCCAAACAGAAGTGTTGCCAGTCACCCCCAGATTCTTGGGGAGTAGACTTCCATTTACACCACTAATCCTCGATTTTTCCCTGTCTTCCCAGAATCCCTTACTACTGCTGTGGCTGGCATGTCCCTCCCCTGACTCTCTGGCTTGTCCTCGGCTTGGGCCTGCTCATGACTCTTCCCTCCCCTGTCACCCTCAGAAAGAAGCCTGGAGGTGGTTCTCAGCACCACCCATGTGTGTGTGTGCACACCCACATGCTCATGTGCACACCCACACCCGCATGGCAGGACTGCAGCTCGTCTCAGGCTGTTCCCCGCACACGCGCCCTGCCGCAGCCACGCCGAGCCCAGCGCCGTCCCTCAGCTGTGCCCTTCTGCAGGGCCCTCCGTGGCTCTCCCAGGAACTCCTGCTGCCCCGGGGGTGGCCGCCTCAGCCTATGAACCTGCTCACTGCACAGCCTCACTTGGAGGGCACCTCATCCAGGTCCATCTGTGCCACGGCACCAGAACATGCAGACTGATTTCTAACGAGCAGAAGGTGGTGCCGGAAGCACAGCGCTGGGTACGCTCGCTTGTCTGCCGAGGGCCACCTCCTGCCGAGAAGAGGAGCACGGTGCTCCCACGGCGGAGGGGTAGGCCAGAGGAGCAGCTCTCTCCATCACGCCCCTTTGTGAAGGCACTGGGTCTCCAGAGAGGGGCCCTCCTGGCCTGATCTCCTGTCAGAGAACCCACGTCTGAGCACCGCCATAGGGGCCACACCTGAATTTCGGAGGGGCCGCCTTCCTAGCCCTTTCCTCGCCAAGTCTTTGTGCGGTGCCCTCTCCTGTGGATTCCCGAGCACCCCACACTTCCTCACATGGGCCACAGCACATCTGCTCGCTGTCCAGACCCCTCCTCGGGTGGGACGCAGCTGGTCACTGTGGCTGCCGGTGCTCACTCTCGTCTTCCCCGAACGCGTCATAGCCTTTGGAAACACCAAGTGCGTAGTGACTGAAGAGTGAGCCGAGGTCTGCTAATCCCAGTCACCAAGCTGCAACAGGCGTCAGGGACACGCTCATCAGGGCTCCGGCTGCAGAGGCAACGCCGCTGAGCTAGGCGCTGGCCGCGTCCCTGGCCTCTGGGCTTATGCTCCGCAGGTCCTCACGCTGGGCCGTCCCGTCCCGGCCTTGGTTGTCAGTCTCCGGGAAAGGCCACCTTTCCTTTCTCTTGCAGTTCTGGAGCCACGGAGAGAGGACGAAGTCACCTCCACGAGGGCCCTGCCTGGGTCTGCCCTCACACCTGGACCGGCTGTTTTCGGTGTCAGGGTGGGCATTTACGGATGGCAGTAAAGCCAAGCGGTGGATCGGCCGTCAGCCTGCTTTGCTGCCTTTGCGAAGAGGTCGCGGGGGCCTTTCCAGGAGGAAATGTGTGACGCTCGTCCTGCCCCCAGGGTCGTGCTGTAAGCGGTGTGACTTGGAGGCAGGCAGCCTCCCGGAGGCCGCGTGTCTGCGAGAGGGTCGTGGAAATCGGCCGTAAGATACAACACGCTCACGTTTCACTTACTCTCCATTTTCCAGGCGCGCGTCCTCCGTAGAGAGCAGGATGGAGCCTTACTTCCAGCAGCGGTGGTTTCAATATGTGCTGATTGTAATTTTTGTCCATCGTAGGTTTGAAGACATACCTGATATCGGGTCAGAGAGCCAAGGAGTCTCAGTGCAGCTGTGCAGAGGCCTTGCTTTCTGGCTTTGAGGTCATTGACGGCTCACGGGTGTCCTCAGGCCCTAGGGGACAGGGGACAGCATCATCAGGGAGTGTCAGTGACTTGGCGCAGACTGTCAAAACCTTTGATAACCTTAAGGTTAGTTTTTTTTTTTCCTACTTTCTCAAACTTTATATTAATTCTGCAGTAGAACATGTATAATAACCTTCAGGTCTGTGGCAAACAGCTTAGAATGTCCTTCAGTTTGGTGTTTGCAGCTTTTAAATTTAGTATAAAGTTAGCAGCATTTTGCATTGTAATGCTCTTGCTTTCTGAATATTACACACGGCCATTTCCTCTCTTCATTGCATGAAGATGCCTCTCACCTGAGTTACTAGTTTTTCTCCTGCGACCTGTGTTGTCTTTCGGGAATTCTGAAAGCTAACAATAAATGACAACGAAGATGATTCTCCATGCACCCTGCTTGAGAACTGGTTTAGGTCCTGTTTCAGAGACCACGTTCTCGAATATTCACCGCAACCTTATGATAATTCTGAATTGTGTTGGTGTGGGTGAAGCTTGTGACGCAGCTCACTGAAACATTACAGGCTGCTGAGAACCTGCCGGCATTTCATTACCCCTGCCAAGATCATCTCTGATTACCGTCCAGAAGCCCCCGTTTCCATACGGACATTTTGCCACTGCAATACACTACCAAGGAATTCACACGCTTGACTCTGGGTGTGAGAAATCATCCTAGTTTACGAGCTAATCCTCGGTTTTCACATTCGATTTATTTCCCCTCATGGTGCCCTCTGCTTATTTTTACAGTTTGCTGTTTCCATTTTTAAAGAGAGAGACAGTTACGACAGTTCTACTTCCCCGCTTTGTGTTGTCAGATAACAAAACGATACGTCAGTCAGCATGAAGCCTATTGTTGGGGCTTCCAGTCAGTGTGTTCCAACTAGCCACACTCACTGACATATTTGAAAGCTGGCGATTGGTGTTTAAGTTCAACAGTCTCCGTGATTTGGTAGTCAGTGTGTTGAGATATTTTACTGTGTTGGAGTGCATGTGCCTATCTTCTGGTTGCTTTTGTTAATTTTTGTGTTCAGGCCTCTTGACCATACTCATATGTCTTTTTCATCGTATGCCTTGCTAATTTAGCACAGGGTTTCTCCGAGTTGGCCTGGCTGATGTTTTGGACAACATAGCCCTGTGTTGTGGGCGCCGTCCTGTGTGTTGCTAGATGCTGAGCAGCGTCCCTGGCGTCTACTCTCCAGATACCAGTAGCACATCCGCCCCTAGTTGTGCTGGCCCCAAAATGTCTCTGGCTCCTGCCCAGTGTCCCCTTGGGGGAGGCAGAACTGTCCCAGGTGAGAGTCCCTGGTGCAGTTGTATTAGACCCTCTCTTTCCCCAAGCTCTCTCTGGCAGTGGGTTGCAGTTATGTCTGAACTGTCCCCACTGCCTGCGAATGGGAGAGGCAGCCCCCAGCTCAGACTGACGTTCTGCGGCAGTCAGAAAGAGGAGCTGTCGGCTCGAAGGCTGTTACTGAGCATGGGCAGGAAAGAACTGGTGTGGGAGGAGAAGAAGAACATGACTTTCCAAACATGTTCGTTTCTTGGGGAAAGATTGTCTCCTCCAGGCTTCAAACGGGGTTGTACTTAAGTAGAGAAATGGAACTCAAAGCCCCAAATAACTGGTGTATTGTGTGCGTCTGCCATCTTGCCTTATGCGTCCCTGTGCACCCCCCCCCCCCCCCCGGCTAGGAGATGCATTTGCTGAGTGTGCCCTGTCACATACTCACAATGCCAGTGACAGTGATACTATGCCAGGCTGCCTTAAGAAGGCTTTCTCTCACAGTGAAAGAATATTCCTTGTTCTAAACATATTTGTTTTGTTCTGGATGGACAAAAGCTACAAGGCATCTTCAAAAAGTTCATGGAAATGTGTATTTTGGAAGAAGTATCCATAGATTTCAAAATTTTTTGCACCAGGGTCAGCAATGTGATATAGTAGGCTAAGCTTTGCCTGCAGCACCGGCATCCCATGTGGGCATCTGTTCTTGTCCTGGCTGCTCCTCTTCCGACCCAGCTCTCTGTTGTGACCTGGGAAAGCAGTGGAAGGTGGCCCAAGTGCTTGGGCCCCTGCACCACATGGGAAACACAGAAGAAGCTTTAGGCTCCTAGCTTCCGATGAGCCCAGCTCCGGCTGTTAATGGCCATTTGTGGCCATTTGGGGAGTGAACCAGCAGATGGAAGACTTTTCTCTCTGTCTCTTCCTCTCTCTGTCTGTAACTCTGCTTCTCAAATAAATAAATAAAATCTTAAAAAAGAGAGGGGGGGAACATTCCCTTTATAAAAAGTGTTTTGCAACAAAATAAAATTACCTTTCAATTCCATTTTCATGAACTTTTTGAAGAATCCTTCATATTTAGCATATTCTATTGCTGTGCATAAAGATTTTCTGAATAGTCATTGAATATTTCCTGAAAACCTTGTGATAGTAGACTGTGTTTACCAAAAGGAATTTGGGTTAAAAAAAAAAAAAAAGCAATTTTGTGTCCTCTCCAGGAGGAAAAGATAAGTTGGATCACAAAGTATAATTTCTGGAATATTTTAGAGGTTTGGGCAGGATAATAGGATGTCTGAGACAAAGCCAGTCCCAGAATGTTAGAATTATTTGGATTCCATGGTTGGGCAGAAAGAGCATAAAGAGATGAAAGGCGCGGTCCCACTGTAGGCGTTGTACATTGGGGTTACCCGTCTCGTCCTCCTGCCCTCTTGGGATCAGAGAACAGGAGCCCAAGAGATCGTAAAATACACACACTGGGTGATTGGGAGTGAACTGTAAGAACCATAGCCCTAAACTTGGGAAGCAGAAAACCCAGGTCTGCTCTAACGATCACGTAGTTCATCATCTGACCCGTGAGACCCTCTCTCAGGTCTGAGCTTCCCAGCAGCAGCGATGCAAGGTGCCAGGTGCTTGCTTACTCCTCGTCTGGGTAGATTCATGCTGCAGCCGCTGGGGCCCCGTGCGTGTGTGGTTGCTCAGTGGGGTTGTCTGCGCTAGGTCAGCCTCTCCTGACCGGTTCCAGCGCTTCGCCAGGGCTCGTTGCCTCTTCCTGCCAATGGGCTCCTTTTCCTTGTCACTGCTGCCGCATCTCCTGATAGAGGCGACTCTGGGTGTGGGTTTCTGTCCCCACATTCCGTGTCCCTGGCCTGGCTTCCGGCAGCGTGTCCCTGAGCAGGAGCTTTCCCAGGCTGGAGATGGATGTCAGGTGCGAGCAGGGCTCTGCGGCGGGCAGAGAGGGACATTCTGGATTAGACAGTCGAGAAAGGGCTTCTCTGCTGCAGAACTCCTCAACGCCTTGAGTGTGCTACTGGGCATTGCTGGGTCTCCCTGGGGTGTGTGTGTGTGTGTGTGTGTGTGCATGTTTGCAGCATTCTCAGGCCTCTTTGAGCACAGATTTCTATTTCCAAGGTGCACCTTGGAGGGCGAGTGCCATGGCTGACACCTTTTTGTGGGAGGGGTGCTTAGCTAATGGAGAGAATTTTGTGCCAAGGACCAAGCAATCAGAGAAGAGCTGTTCAGTCAACAGTCACCAAATGAAGAGATGCGTGTCCTGTTCGTGTTGTTCCCCTCGTCTGTGACACTCACTGCTCCCCTTTCCCCCAACGCCCTCTCTGCATTTCACGCGTTAGCCTCACTGTGGCTTCCCGTGCCTGCTCTAGCTGGTGGCACCATCTCCCCATGTCCTCCAGTGTGTGCCCCTTGCCTAGAATGTACACAGCCAAAGGTCTTTGCTTCCCAGGCACCTTCCTGTGAGCTCCCTGAATGCAGGGCCCCTATATTAAACAGCTTGTATTTCCAGAGTCCAGCACCATGCCTAGCATGTGGGGGATAATTGCAGCTTTGTTTTGGCTTCAGTTTTTAATCCCTGAATGTCACACAGGGAGATACAGCTCTGCAGAGCTACACTAAGAGGAATGAGACTCAGAAGCCTGGGCAGAACTATTGAGAACCAAGGCTTGACTGTCTACCCACAGCATGTGTCCCGTACGCCTTTTAAGTTATTGTTCAGTTCACAGCTGGAAAATTCGTAGCTAATATATCTCAGCACAGCTGGAGAACTGTAGCCCCCTACCAGGAAATGATAGTGCTGTCAAAGGCCCGAGGTCATAGGTCAAAAGGAACCTTTCCCACATGTTAGCCTTGGTTTCTGAAGACCAGAGATGAGAGTGGGTGGTCAGAAGGCCCCTGCATTGTGTCGGGGTGCGGGGAAAGGGAGGGAGGGGTCCAGAAGGGAGCCAGGCACTGGCAGTTGGGGCAAGGACGCCACTTGTCAGCATCGTGGAGACAGCATGAGCGCTGTGAAAGAGCTGCAACTTACAGGTGAAACTCCTGGGGCAGGCGCCGTGGCACAGCGGGCCCAGCTGCCGCTCGGGAACCCGCATGTCATATTGGAGTGTCGGTTCAAGTCCCAGCTACTCTGTGCTTCCCATGCAGCTTCTTGCTAATGTGCCAGGGCTTGGGGGGCTCGGGGGGTGGAGGGGCAGTGAGTGATAAGTACTTAGGTTCCTGCCACTCACATGGCGTTCAGGGCTCCTGCTTTGGATTAGCCTATTCTTGGCTGTTGGGAGCATTTGGGGAATGAACCAGTGAATAGACGATCTCTCTCTGTTTCTCCCTCTCACTCTCTCTGTCACTCTGCCTTTCACATAAATAAGTAAATCTTAAAAACAAAATACTGAAACTCCTTCTCAAAGCCTTGGCTTTGGACTGTGAAGAAATCACTTAATTTCTCTAAGCCTCGTTCCTCCTTGGAGAGGTGGTGGCGAGCAGGAAGTCTCTCAGGGTTGTTTGCAGATGGGCTGCAGCCACACTTGCAGGTACTATATGTGGGGTAGAGGCTCAGCTCACACAGGGCATGCGTTTGTCCCCACAGAGGGAGAGCACCGTCCCGGGCAAGAGGGAAGGAGGATAGGAGACGGCTGTCATCTTGTTTTGCCGACAAGAAGTCATGGACTCTACTGGGAAGCTCTCACCTTCTCCACCAGGGTTAGAGGAGAGTTTTAGAATTGTCGCAGCTGGTTGTTGCTGTAGGGCAGGGGTGCTGTCTGGTATAACCACATCAGAAATACGGTGCAGGTGTGGG